TTGCATATCCTCTGATATTATGCATGTTCTCCTCTGGTCCTTGTAACGGCTTTTATGCCTTATTTCCATCGGTGGCGGTAATGTTATTCGGAGTTTTGCCCATAAGTCTACTCCAATGAGCATGGGGCTTTCAAGGTTTGGTATAACGTCAAACGTGTGCCAGTATCTTCTGTCCCCTATCGTAACTGGTACCTTTACCTTTCCTTGAATTTTTATACTTGTGCCATTCGCCAGCCGTATTGCTTTGTCTCTTTTCTGTGTCGGATGTTGCCACTTGTTTGCTAACATCGCGGTTCTCTGGCTTATGCATGAGATCTCGGATCCTGAGTCGATTAATGCATTAAGCGGTGTTTTGTATATTTTGATTCTTATGTGCGGGCGCGGTGTGTATCTTATGTGCGGTGTCCTTGGGACCGAGGGTCGCCCTACTGCTCCTCGGTCCGCGCGGCGTTTCCCGGTCGTGGATGGCAGTCTTTTGTTAAAACTCCATCTCTTCCGCATTGGGAGCAAAATTTCTTCGCCGGTTGTCTGCAAAATCGTCTTGTATGCCCCCTTTGTTTACAGCGCCAGCAGCAATCTGCGGCATTGTATATTGCTGCCGTTATTGCCGTTTGCGGTGATGTGTGTGCGTTTGTGCGCATACTTTTCCTTTGACGCTGAATATCCTCTATTTCTGCTGCTTGGGCCCCTAGTTCTCCCAATGTGTGTATATATTCCCGCCTAATGTGCAGCTTTAAGTCTGGCGACATGTTTTCGTATGTCTGCTCTATCTGATCTCTTCTTCAAAATCCGCCCGCTCTTCTCATGAGCGTCGCCAGTTCTGTGGCGTAATGCCTAAACGGTTCGTTTGCTTGTTGCAGTCGTTTCTGTACTTCTATTTTTAACTGGTTCTTATATCTATATGGAAAATAATGTTCCCGAAACGCGTTCGTGAAATCATTCCACTCTTTCCATGCTTTCTTCTTGTTCCTGTACCAATGCAAAGTACTTCCGCGCAGTAATGCCGGCAAACCTTGCAACATTTGTTCGTCGGTGTATTCGTAACTACTTTGTAGTTCTTCAATTCGCTCTAGGAAAGAAATTGGATCTTTTCCGTCGAATTGACATCCCCATTGCGACGATTTTTCTTATTATTACTTATAGCGGACAGTCGGCTGTCCGCTTCGTCGGCAAACTACCGCGGTCCCCGGATCGCTGTTCTGACTCTCTAAATTCGGTTGGGCGCCAGGTGCGGTAAGGCCGCACCTCCTCACCAACAATTCTTCGTCAAAAATCTCTAAGTAGTCGTCCGTTTTCGAGATCGCGGGGACGAAACGGGACCGGTAGCTCTTTCTTGATTTGAGTCGGAGTAGGGATAGGTTTGATCAATGTAGGTGGAAGCCGAGGAAAAGAAGAATCTTCGTTCGGTATAGCTATTTATTCCGGTGATACAAGGCACTTCAAGTGCCCGATACGACCTCTCGCTTGTTTCGATACGCTATCACGATATTTTAGTCCCTAGTGGGAGATCTCCTCGCGTTTCGCGCGACCACTCTGCATGCGGTAGGTTTCGCGTGACAATTTCGTGAAAATGACGACAAACAACAAACGAATGGGAAGTCTTACAATGAGTCGGACTCCTCCTCGCCAGCCCTCCGGGTCGATCGCTTCGCCTGTCGCTCGTCTGAAGTCGCCCTCGCTACACCACGCCAATGAGAGTACGGCACACCTTAACCAGTATGGTCGCGTCCGCTCACAAAACGACAATTCCGGCAAAAATCGAGATCAGCGATAAACGATAGTAGAGTGTCTTTTCTCTTTAGTCGCTCGTAGGCAAGTTACTCTACCCCGCCTTGTTCTCGCTTTTTCTCTATTCGGCGAGCCTTCCTCTCTCTCTCTCTCTCTCTCTCTCTCTCTCTCTCTCTCTCTCTCTCT